CTAAAACCTTTACAGAATTCTTTCCAGCAAGTTTTGAGATCTCTAGATTTCCTGCTGAAGTAGACTATCCTCCACTGAGATCCAAATGTATAGAGGAAAATGAACTGAGCCAAGTCTTCACGTAGGCATCCATGCCATCATAGAAAAACACACTGTGACTCCAAAGGCCAGATCAGCCATGCAATGAAGGCAGTCCCAGGGTCTAGACGTAGCGGTGTCAGAAGAAAGAACAGGTCCTGAGTGACTTGTACAATGTTGGCATAGAAGAGGACGTCATGAGTGGTCCTTCTAGCCACAGTGAGGTTTGATTGAGCAGCGTCAGCAGAAACACAGCAAGATCCGGCACAGCACACACTGCCGTCAGTCCACGGACTCTGAGGGTACCGGACATAACCTGTGAGGTTGTACTTTGCAACCAGCCCGACAACTGAGAAGACCAAACCCCCAACTGGCAAGTTCTGTTTGCACTTCCACAGAGAAGACCGGTTCGGTGTTAGCACATTGTACGTCTTGGTAAAAGCTGGTTGACAGTGCATGAATATACACACTTTATACGAAGAGCCAATATGCCAGTGGACAGAATGAATGGAAAATGATAGATGTAGTGTGTTAGCTGCTACAGCTACCATTTTGGTAGCCAATCCATTGATGGGATGCGATCGGAGGAAAAAACTGTCTGTTTTGTGATGTTGACATGGAATATGAGCAAAACACGCGAGCACCTGTCATCATCTCAATATCCAAGTGGACATTTACTCAACAGTGAGGTTTATGTAAGAGGGATGGACTGAAAGGTTCGGGAACCCAAAATAATAATCTTCAGCAACCAATACTTAATGATAGATTGTGTGCTTTCTCCTTGTGTAAAAACAGTAGGTGAAGTTTCTATGAGATGGGATCCTTGCATCGATATACTGGCTGTATTCTCTTGGGGCAATACTAAGCTTTCATGACACAGTAGGCAACTACTACCCCAGGGACTAGGCGCAGTGTCGTAGTGTGACCATAATGACAGCAGACAGAGACTGAATGTCTGCCCTGGTTTCACAACCACTTAGTGCTGAGGGGCAGTTGAGAAGATCAAAGTTAGTGGTAGATGAATTTAACTCACAGAACCTTACATATATTGGGTTAGAGGCTATTGCAGCTAGGTCATGCTTGGCTGTTGTGATGTGGAGGTGTTGTGTAAGATTTTGCGCTGGGTATGAAGTGCTGAATTTTGACACGTTAACATACAGCATACACAGTCTATCTCAGGCCCCATAAAGGGCGCTCCCAGAAACGCAGTGTGTTGATGAGACGGACTTGTGTTTGCTGGAGGGTAGCGTGTCAGCCGTGTACATTGTCCACCTGAAAGAGCCAAAAACTCCAAAGTGGAGAAACACTCATCCGTCGACGTATATCCCACCTGCCACTCAGTGTAGCATGGTTGTTAACATATTCAAGACTGTACATTGTGAAGGTGCATAATCGAAAAGGAACAGAAAAACAATCCACCACCTTTATATGCACTGTTTCCGCTGACCTCGTTCTCTACATGTAAAGGAAATTACTATAAATCACGACAATACCAGAGCAGGTATGTTAATAACGTGCAGTTTTCAAGGTGATGCTTGAGCACACTCAGCATAGAGAGCTCCAGTTCGGTGGTACAGGTGTACTGTGCTGTGCCACAGATTCTCCAGGAATTTGCAGTTGCTGAATTCTATCTCAAAGAATATTGTACCGTGATTGTCGTAACTAGGCAGAAGAAATGTTACAATGTACACAGCTATCCCCCCATGTAAATGAGAATGGTACACAGCTGGTTTCGCTGAAAGTGCAGTTGTTTTTGAACACAATTCTTCCGATATCTCTTGGAATTTTGTGTTAGTACTCAATACACTGCTCCTCCATTGTGGTATGCTGTGTGCCCTCAAAATGTGTATTCAACATTCAAAATAGTAGTTGAGCTTCTTAAAGTGCTATGGCCGGAGTTTTACACCACCAGCTATTGCGAATACACAGATACCACCTCCAGAATTAGCAGTACCATTGAGTATCTACTATTAAGAAAGGAGACTGAGATACTCCAAAGGGTAGACCAACCTGTGAACTCTATAAAACATTGCCTCCATTTTACCTTGATTTCCCGAAACAACTACATTGTCAAAAACTATGCTAACATTTGCAGAACACAATAATCCAACTGTGATTCCACTACTTGGTGCCACGCTGTCAAAATTATTAATCCCATGCCTGAGAAAGAGTCTGAAATCTTCACGCTGTTTACCAAAAGTGAATTCTCATAGGGATATGAACGTAGTATACAAAATTGATGCCTTTGGACATTTTTGTGTTATGGCTTGTAGTCAACTGTAATGTTGTTGATGGAAATATTACCATAAAGATTTTTCAATGAGAGACCGAGACCAGGTGTGTTCTGAATATTGATGTGGTTCATTTTAACATCGACTGTTTGCTGAATATACACTGCTACTGAGTCGTACAAGAGAAGATGTCGTTTGGAACAATTCCACAAGCCTAGATTTTTCAGAGTGAGGTTGGTAACGTTGTAAAATGAGAATCCTCCTGAATCTTCTCCACTGCACACAACTGTAACTTCATGTACATCAGTTCCATAGAGAGCGAGGTTTGATATGTTGGCCATCAGAACAAGAGTTGAGTCCACCAGTTCATGTTGTCCAGGCAGGAAGTGGAAGGTGGTGTTGTCTTCTCTGAAATACTGGTCTGGGTGAGCAGCATAGTACATGAGACTGCACTCTGTCTTGTTGTCACTGAGACAGCTACTGGCCGACTGGTTTGCCACCACAGTGTACACCTTGTATCCTACCACTCCTTGACTGGCTACTGAGAGAAGATACACACACAGAACCAGAGCCACCACCGCCATTTCTACTGTGGCAAACTACCTGTAAGATCATGTTAATGGTGTTTATCTTTTGGAATGATATTTGGGCATAAACAGTTACTCCGAAAGTGAAAATAACACATGTATGCTTGCAAACAATGTAAAAGTATTTATGATCATGCAAAGTGCAGTGTTAGTTGTTTATGCTCCAAATGAGAGACTCCCGAAGGTGTGGGGTGGCTTGGTTACTAAGTTTCTCCTCAGTCTCAGATTGACTATCACTTTCTTGTGATTCAACTTGACTACCAATGATCAGTGGTCGTATGACTGCTCTGTTAGGATCACCACCGCCCCTCAACGTTGCATAGAACCACACTTGCAAGTGGCCCAATAGAAGAGAGTCTTTAAGCCAGTTCTTGTAGCCATGATAGAGGATGATGCCCACTAGTGTCAGGAAAGCCCATCCACCAAACACACACACGACAATAGTTTTGTGACCATCACTTGACTTCATTGACAGCATTGTGAATGCAGAAAAAATGATTAGGTTGGCATACATGGAGCTCTCCAGCAAACCAATCAATTTGTTTCGGTAGATGCCTTTTTGGGTGCCAATTATAAGCAGAGTAGAAACAGTTATGATCAGTGTAAAGTTCAGTATAGGATTGTTTTCAAAATTTACAGCAAAGGAAGTGAAGAGAGCAATTCTCACAAGCAGTAGGAACCCAGTCCAGAAGTGGTACTTGTTCTTGTAGGGACCAGTGTAGGCATCCAGTAGAGGTTTGAGTCTCTGGATCCACCCACACATTCTGCTGTTGGGAGCTCTTCTCAGGCACTGAATGAAGGTAAGGATGAGGGCATAGAGGAGAGCCACACCTCCAGCCAAACATGCCACCACAAACAGTGTAATGTGCTTTCCATGAAGATAGTGGACATTGGCATCAAGCAACCACACTGAGATGTTGACTTTCCCATCATGTGACTTGACGTTAGTGAAAAATCCAACAGCGATAATGGTGCGTATCAGTTTGCCGAATGAGAGGAGGAAAAGTGTGGCTAAAACCTTTACAGAATTCTTTCCAGCAAGTTTTGAGATCCTTCTAGATTTCCTGCTGAAGTAGACTATTCCTCCACTGAAGATCCAAATGTATAGAGGGAAAATGAACTGTAGCCAAGTCTTCACGTAGGCATCCATGCCATCATAGAAACACACTGTGACTCCAAAGTCCAGATTCAGCCATGCAATGAAGGCAGTCCAGGGTCTAGCGTAAGTGTCAGAAGGGAAGAACAGGTCCTGGTTGACTTGTACAATGTTGGCATAGAAGATGAGTCCATTGAGTGTTCCTTCAGCTACAGTGAGGTTGAGCAGAGTCAGCAGAACCACCAGCAAGATTCCGGCCACAGCACACACTGCCGTCAGTCCAACGACTCTGAGGTACCGGACATACCTGTGAGGTGTACTGCAACCAGCCAGACACTGAGAAGACCCAAACCCCAAACTGTAGTTCTGTTTGCACTTCCCACAGAGAAGACCAGTTCTGTGTTTAGCACATTGTACGTCTTGGTAAAAGTGGTTGACAGTTGCATGAATATACACACTTTTATCGAAGCAATATGCCAGTGGACAGAATGAATGTGAAATGATAGATGTAGTTGTGTTTGTGCTACAGCATCCATTTTTGTAGCCAATCCATTGAGGATTCGATCGGAAAACTGTCTGTTTTGTGATGTTGCATGGAATATGAGCAAAACACGAGCACCTGTCATCATCTTCAATAAATCCAAGTGGACATTCTTCAACAGTGATGTTTATGTAAGAGGGTTGGTACTGAAAAGTTGGGAACCCAAAATAATAATCTTCAGCAACCAATCTTAATGATAGATTGTGTACTTTCTCCTTTGTAAAAACACTGTAGGTCAAGTTTCTATGAGATGTGTTCCTTGCATTGATATACTGGCTGTATTCTCTTGGGGCAATACTAAAGCTTTCATTGACACAGTATGCAACTACTACCCCAGGGACTAGGCCGTAGTGTTGACCCATAATGACAGCAGAGAGACTGAATGTCTGCCCTGGTTTAACAACCACATTAGTGCTGAGGGGGCAGTTGATAAGATCAAGTTTAGTGGTAGATGAATTTAACTCACAGAACCTTACATATATTGGGTTAGATGATATTGCAGATAGGTCATGCTTGGCTGTTGTGATGTGGAAGGTGTTGTTAAAGATTTTGGCTGGGTATGAAGTGCTGAATTTCTGACCACGTTTAACATACAGAATACACCAGTCTATCAGGCCCCCATAAAGGGCGCTCCCAGAAACAGCAGTGTTGTTGATGAGACGGACTTGTGTTTGCTGGAGGGTAGCGTTGTCAGCCGTTACATTGTCCACCTGAAAGAGGCAAAACTCCACAGCTGGAGAACACTCTCCGTCGACGTATATCCCACCTCCACTCAGTGTAGCATGGTTGTTAACAATATTCAAGACTGTACCATTGTGAAGGTGCATCATCGAAAAGGAACAGAAAAACAATCCACCACCTTTATATGCACTGTTTCCGCTGACCTTGTTCTCTCCATGTAAAAGGAAATTACTATAAATCCCGACAATACCAGAGCAGGTATTGTTAATAAACGTGCAGTTTCTCAAGGTGATGCTTGAAGCACACTCAGCATAGAGAGCTCCAGTTCGTGGTACAGCTGCACTGTGCTGTGCCACAGAATTCTCCAGGAATTTGCAGTTGCTGAATTCTATCTCAAAGAATATTGTACCGTGATTGTCGTAACTAGGCAGAAGAAATGTTAAAATGCACACAGCTATCCCCCCATGTAAATGAGAATGGTACACAAGCTGGTTTCGCTTGAACGTGCAGTTGTTTTTGAACACAATTCTTCCGATATCTCTTTGGGAATTTTGTGTTAGTCTCAAATATACTGCTCCTCCATTGTGGTATGCTGTGTTGCCCTCAAAATGTGTATTCTCAACATTCAAAATAGTAGTTGAGCTTCTTAAAGTGCTATGGCCGGAGTTTACACCACCAGCTATTGCAAATACACAGATACCACCTCCAGAATTAGCAGTACCATTGAGTATCTTACTATTAAGAAAGGAGACTGAGATACTCCAAAGGGTAGACCAACCTGTGAACTCTATAAAAACATTGCCTCCATTTTTACCTTGATTTCCCGAAACAACTACATTGTCAAAAACTATGCTAACATTTGCAGAACACAATAATCCAACTGTGATTCCACTACTTGGTGCCACGCTGTCAAAATTATTAATCCCATGCCTGAAGAAAGAGTCTGAAATCTTCACGCTGTTTACCAAAAGTGAATTCTCATAGGGATATGAACAGTAGTATACAAAATTGATGCCTTTGGACATTTTTGTGTTATGGCTGTAGTCAACTGTAATGTTGTTGATGGAAATATTACCATAAAGATTTTTCAATGAGAGACCGAGACCAGGTGTGTTCTGAATATTGATGTGGTTCATTTTAACATCGACTGTTTGCTGAATATACACTGCTACTGAGTCGTACAAGAGAAGATGTCGTTTGGAACAATTCCACAAGCCTAGATTTTTCAGAGTGAGGTTGGTAACGTTGTAAAATGAGAATCCTCCTGAATCTTCTCCACTGCACACAACTGTAACTTCATGTACATCAGTTCCATAGAGAGCGAGGTTTGATATGTTGGCCATCAGAACAAGAGTTGAGTCCACCAGTTCATGTTGTCCAGGCAGGAAGTGGAAGGTGGTGTTGTCTTCTCTGAAATACTGGTCTGGGTGAGCAGCATAGTACATGAGACTACACTCTGTCTTGTTGTCACTGAGACAGCTACTGGCTGACTGGTTTGCCACCACAGTGTACACCTTGTCTCCTACCACTCCTTGACTGGCTACTGAGAGAAGATACACACACAGAACCAGAGCCACCACCGCCATTTCTACTGTGGCAAACTACCTGTAAGATCATGTTAATGGTGTTTATCTTTTGGAATGATATTTGGGCATAAACAGTTACTCCGAAAGTGAAAATAACACATGTATGCTTGCAAACAATGTAAAAGTATTTATGATCATGCAAAGTGCAGTGTTAGTTGTTTATGCTCCAAATGAGAGACTCCCGAAGGTGTGGGGTGGCTTGGTTACTAAGTTTCTCCTCAGTCTCAGATTGACTATCACTTTCTTGTGATTCAACTTGACTACCAATGATCAGTGGTCGTATGACTGCTCTGTTAGGATCACCACCGCCCCTCAACGTTGCATAGAACCACACTTGCAAGTGGCCCAATAGAAGAGAGTCTTTAAGCCAGTTCTTGTAGCCATGATAGAGGATGATGCCCACTAGTGTCAGGAAAGCCCATCCACCAAACACACACACGACAATAGTTTTGTGACCATCACTTGACTTCATTGACAGCATTGTGAATGCAGAAAAAATGATTAGGTTGGCATACATGGAGCTCTCCAGCAAACCAATCAATTTGTTTCGGTAGATGCCTTTTTGGGTGCCAATTATAAGCAGAGTAGAAACAGTTATGATCAGTGTAAAGTTCAGTATAGGATTGTTTTCAAAATTTACAGCAAAGGAAGTGAAGAGAGCAATTCTCACAAGCAGTAGGAACCCAGTCCAGAAGTGGTACTTGTTCTTGTAGGGACCAGTGTAGGCATCCAGTAGAGGTTTGAGTCTCTGGATCCACCCACACATTCTGCTGTTGGGAGCTCTTCTCAGGCACTGAATGAAGGTAAGGATGAGGGCATAGAGGAGAGCCACACCTCCAGCCAAACATGCCACCACAAACAGTGTAATGTGCTTTCCATGAAGATAGTGGACATTGGCATCAAGCAACCACACTGAGATGTTGACTTTCCCATCATGTGACTTGACGTTAGTGAAAAATCCAACAGCGATAATGGTGCGTATCAGTTTGCCGAATGAGAGGAGGAAAAGTGTGGCTAAAACCTTTACAGAATTCTTTCCAGCAAGTTTTGAGATCCTTCTAGATTTCCTGCTGAAGTAGACTATTCCTCCACTGAAGATCCAAATGTATAGAGGGAAAATGAACTGTAGCCAAGTCTTCACGTAGGCATCCATGCCATCATAGAAACACACTGTGACTCCAAAGTCCAGATTCAGCCATGCAATGAAGGCAGTCCAGGGTCTAGCGTAAGTGTCAGAAGGGAAGAACAGGTCCTGGTTGACTTGTACAATGTTGGCATAGAAGATGAGTCCATTGAGTGTTCCTTCAGCCACAGTGAGGTTGAGCAGAGTCAGCAGAACTACCAGCAAGATTCCGGCCACAGCACACACTGCCGTCAGTCCAATGACTCTGAGGTACCGGACATACCTGTGAGGTGTACTGCAACCAGCCAGACACTGAGAAGACCCAAACCCCAAACTGCAGTTCTGTTTGCACTTCCCACAGAGAAGACCAGTTCGGTGTTTAGCACATTGTACGTCTTGGTAAAAGTGGTTGACAGTTGCATGAATATACACACTTTTATCGAAGCAATATCCCAGTGGACAGAATGAATGTGAAATGATAGATGTAGTTGTGTTTGTGCTACAGCATCCATTTTTGTAGCCAATCCATTGAGGATTCGATCGGAAAACTGTCTGTTTTGTGATGTTGCATTGAATATGAGCAAAACACGAGCACCTGTCATCATCTTCAATAAATCCAAGTGGACATTCTTCAACAGTGATGTTTATGTAAGAGGGTTGGTACTGAAAAGTTGGGAACCCAAAATAATAATCTTCAGCAACCAATCTTAATGATAGATTGTGTACTTTCTCCTTTGTAAAAACACTGTAGGTCAAGTTTCTATGAGATGTGTTCCTTGCATCGATATACTGGCTGTATTCTCTTGGGGCAATACTAAAGCTTTCATTGACACAGTATGCAACTACTACCCCAGGGACTAGGCCGTAGTGTTGACCCATAATGACAGCAGAGAGACTGAATGTCTGCCCTGGTTTAACAACCACATTAGTGCTGAGGGGGCAGTTGATAAGATCAAGTTTAGTGGTAGATGAATTTAACTCACAGAACCTTACATATATTGGGTTAGATGATATTGCAGATAGGTCATGCTTGGCTGTTGTGATGTGGAAGGTGTTGTTAAAGATTTTGGCTGGGTATGAAGTGCTGAATTTCTGACCACGTTTAACATACAGAATACACCAGTCTATCAGGCCCCCATAAAGGGCGCTCCCAGAAACAGCAGTGTTGTTGATGAGACGGACTTGTGTTTGCTGGAGGGTAGCGTTGTCAGCCGTTACATTGTCCACCTGAAAGAGGCAAAACTCCACAGCTGGAGAACACTCTCCGTCGACGTATATCCCACCTCCACTCAGTGTAGCATGGTTGTTAACAATATTCAAGACTGTACCATTGTGAAGGTGCATCATCGAAAAGGAACAGAAAAACAATCCACCACCTTTATATGCACTGTTTCCGCTGACCTCGTTCTCTCCATGTAAAAGGAAATTACTATAAATCCCGACAATACCAGAGCAGGTATTGTTAATAAACGTGCAGTTTCTCAAGGTGATGCTTGAAGCACACTCAGCATAGAGAGCTCCAGTTCGTGGTACAGCTGCACTGTGCTGTGCCACAGAATTCTCCAGGAATTTGCAGTTGCTGAATTCTATCTCAAAGAATATTGTACCGTGATTGTCGTAACTAGGCAGAAGAAATGTTAAAATGCACACAGCTATCCCCCCATGTAAATGAGAATGGTACACAAGCTGGTTTCGCTTGAACGTGCAGTTGTTTTTGAACACAATTCTTCCGATATCTCTTTGGGAATTTTGTGTTAGTCTCAAATACACTGCTCCTCCATTGTGGTATGCTGTGTTGCCCTCAAAATGTGTATTCTCAACATTCAAAATAGTAGTTGAGCTTCTTAAAGTGCTATGGCCGGAGTTTACACCACCAGCTATTGCGAATACACAGATACCACCTCCAGAATTAGCAGTACCATTGAGTATCTTACTATTAAGAAAGGAGACTGAGATACTCCAAAGGGTAGACCAACCTGTGAACTCTATAAAAACATTGCCTCCATTTTTACCTTGATTTCCCGAAACAACTACATTGTCAAAAACTATGCTAACATTTGCAGAACACAATAATCCAACTGTGATTCCACTACTTGGTGCCACGCTGTCAAAATTATTAATCCCATGCCTGAAGAAAGAGTCTGAAATCTTCACGTTGTTTACCAAAAGTGAATTCTCATAGGGATATGAACAGTAGTATACAAAATTGATGCCTTTGGACATTTTTGTGTTATGGCTGTAGTCAACTGTAATGTTGTTGATGGAAATATTACCATAAAGATTTTTCAATGAGAGACCGAGACCAGGTGTGTTCTGAATATTGATGCGGTTCATTTTAACATCGACTGTTTGCTGAATATATACTGCTACTGAGTCATACAACCAACGATGTCGTTTGGAACAATTCCACAAGCCTAGATTTTTCAGAGTGAGGTTGGTAACGTTGTAAAATGAGAATCCTCCTGAATCTTCTCCACTGCACACAACTGTAACTTCATGTACATCAGTTCCATAGAGAGCGAGGTTTGATATGTTGGCCATCAGAACAAGAGTTGAGTCCACCAGTTCATGTTGTCCAGGCAGGAAGTGGAAGGTGGTGTTGTCTTCTCTGAAATACTGGTCTGGGTGAGCAGCATAGTACATGAGACTGCACTCTGTCTTGTTGTCACTGAGACAGCTACTGGCCGACTGGTTTGCCACCACAGTGTACACCTTGTCTCCTACCACTCCTTGACTGGCTACTGAGAGAAGATACACACACAGAACCAGAGCCACCGCCGCCATTTCTACTGTGGCAA